AATGCCTCAATGGGTATAAACACACAGAGTACCGTGTGAAGAGAAATGGCAGGAAATGAAGATGGCTATTTGTCACATTTTACGACAATAACATTAATAACAAACAATAAATTTACATGGACATATAAGACGCGGTAGGTAGTGAGAAATCCCTTCTACTTACAATACCCCAGCCCGTGGTGTGGCTCCGGCTGCGGGGCTGTTTTATTGCTGCCTCCCTTTCTTTTTCTCTCTCTCCCTCTCTCTCTCCCCCTCTCTCTTTTTTTTTTTCTGGGGGTACAGGCTTGTTTTTCAAAGGACAGTTGAATTGCACGTCAGAAACAGGGAGACCGAGCCTGCGATTTTCCTGACGAATACATATCTATTCTGCAACCTCGGCATTAATTATTTAATGAATCACGTGACAGGGAGGGGGAAGGGGGTCTTTCGATTTCAGGCTCAAAGGACCACTATGACCTTCCCCTTCAGGAGGAGAAATTTTCCTGCAAAATAAGTCCCCCTACCCACCAATGGAATAGTAGCCAGTTCTCTCTCTCCCATACTCCTATCTGTACCTACTACCTCTGCAGCTCCCTAACCACCCCCAGATACACACTTACCCACAGCCCACCTCTCCTCTTTCCCTTCTCTTCCTGCTTCTGCTTAGTTCGTGGAGGTGCAGAAATAGTCTGCAGGGGTGTCTGGGGCGTTGGGGGTGGGGTGGGCACAGAGCCCTTCTCCAAGCCCCTGGATTTCTCAGCTTCTAATTCTTCTCTCCGTATCCTTTAGGATTAAGATTTCCTCCCCAACTCTTATTTTCTCCCCTACTCCTAGGGTATTTCTTTTAGGAGGACTCACTCCTTTTCTTCCTAAATAATCGATAAAATTTCTAAGGGGACTAGCTTGAAAAGAAACACTTTGTAAGTCTATGTTATGTATGCATAAGGAACAGCACTTCTGGCTTTAATTCTCTTTTTGATCTTTTTTGGTACCTTTTGGAGGAATAAAAAAAAAAAAGGACAGCATGAAGCAATGACTCTGGAGCTTGTAGAGTTAAGAACAACTGCAAAGGGGACTTTTTTCCGTTATGTTGTTACTACCATAGGTAAACAAATTCTATTGACTCTTTGAAAATAGGCTCTAGAGACAAAGACCAGGATAAAGGTTTCTAAACAAAAGAAGTGGACACTCAGTCTCTATGTACCTATGTCATACCCTGCTTCTGTCCTCCCCCCCCCCCAACCAACACACCATGAAGACAGCTGGAGATTTGAACAAGAGTGGAGGGAAAGGAAAGAAAGGCTTTGAAGTCTGCCAGGCAGCCCCAGGGTCCCTATTTCCTAGGTGTTAGTACCCTGAGCTTCTAATCACCAGACAATAGAGACTGATCAATGGGAAAAAGAAGGGGCGGTGGGGGTGTTAAAGAGTTAAACATCAGAGATAGGGGAAATCTATCCCCTAGGCCTGAAGAGAGATACTTATACAGACCCTTTTACCTCAAATGTAAACTAAACAAAATTTTAAAATCCCCCAAACTTGACCAGCTATAAGCAGAATCAGAATTTGGCTGAGCATGGGGTGGGGGTAGGGGTGCAAAAGGAAGCAGAAAAGACATTCCTAAAGAAGCCCCTGGCTGCACATTCCCAGTCTTATCTGTCTTTAGCTCCTACAGGGGTAGCCTGGACCACAGCTGCCTGGACAGGGAATGGGGGAAGAAAAAACATGCTCTAGTTTAGGGGAGCATGGGGCTGAAGGGCCTTCCCTGGTTTGTATGAAGGGGTTTAAAGCAAAAGCAACTCAGTTTAGAAAAAGTTGAGGACCTGGTTGTCTTAACAAACACCAAAGAAACAGCCACCCTGATGTCGGAGGAGGTTTTAGCTGTAGCGGCTACACCACCACTCTACCGCTCCTACCAAAGGCTCTGGAATCCAGCTTTGGCTGCACGGAGTGGGGGCCCCAGTGGGCCCAGACTCTATAAAGGAGGGGGTGGCCGGCTTTGATTGTCCAGATACAAAACACAGACTGGTATTGAATTCAGCCTGATTCTGATGTGGGCCCTGCTCCCGTCTCCAGTGAGGGTAACTCCCTGCAAGGTTCTGGCCACAAATCCATTAAAAATGGTCCTCCAAAGAAAAACACTCTGCTAAAGTCTAAAACAAAAATAGGGAAGCGAGAGAGAAGAGGAGGGAGGGATATGAATGAGGATATGAATATAATATAATATGCTAGACATAAGAAGACAGCAATCTCTGAAAATGAGATATTATTTATAAGAACAAGAAAAGAAAAACAGCAAAATGACATGAAGGCACTCCGGGCAGGTTCTGTTAAAATGCCCACACTCTTTGCAGACCCTGGGAATCTCTACATTCAAATAAACAAGCGCCTGAACGAGAGCCGAGTGCTTTCTTACTGCCGATAAAGCGAACATTTAGACTGTGAGAAAGGCAAGATTGATTTACGAATCTGAACGCGCTGGTTTTATGGCTGATCACAAATCCGTCAGCGCTCAACTCACGCTGGGAAACTTCCCAACTCCGTTTTCCAACCAGACCCCCTCCCCAGCTGCCGCTTCTCAGGGAGACCTGCTACTACCAGTGCTGGGGCTGTCTCAGAGGCTCTGGCGGGGCTAGGCAGCCCCTCTCCCCAGGCCAGAAGGTGGAAATAGGAGAGAGAGTGAAGGGGTGGGCCAGGGAACTGGGAGAAAGAGAAAGAGAAAGAAGTCCAATATTTGGGAGGACTGGTACAACACTAAACAGTCTAGGTGTGAAGGAAAAGGGAAATCTTAATGTGTGGGGCTCTGAGGCTTTGAACAGTGAATTCCAACCTTCCCTGTCTCTGGTCTCTCTCCTCTTTTCCTTTGATAAGTCCCTAATCCTTACATTGCCTAGAGCAATCTGAAGCAACTAGGTCTTTGTCCCTTTGGATTTATAAAGGGTCCACAATTTGTTATTTGTCCGTGTGGGAAATGTACAAACATCATTTCCCCTGATCCCAAAATATTTTCAGTCCAGGAGGGTCCAAGCTCGCCTGTCTGGTCCACCTCTTTCTTTCTTTTTTCTTCTCTACCTCTTTCCTTCTTGAGGACTCCAGCCTCTCCACTTATGCCACCCACGGACAAAGGAGAGGATATCAACCACTCCAGTTATTTCTTGCCTGCAACAGAGTCCCCAAATTACAGGAAACAATTTGCAATCTACAAACCAACAACCCACACATATCCCAGCAAGGTTCTGTCTCTCCTAGTCCTAACCCAAGGGGAGCATTTCCTCTCCCAAGCCAGAGTCTGTCTGTCTATCCCTCTTCCTCTTTGTTTCTGTCTCCCTCTAAGATGATGGCTGCAGGTGTGGATTTTTAAGATTTTCTGTGCTCAGGGCTTACCTTCTAGCAAATCCTCCACCCATCTCCTAAAATTAAGTTCCTGGAAACTTTGCTTAATATGGCAGAGCTGGCCCTGGAAAGTGGTCAGAACAGCCTTTCCTGATTCTCCTCCCATTTCACTCGATCCTCTGATGGGTGAGGTATTCCAAGAGCTCTGTATGTAGAAGATGAGGATTAGGGAAAGGGGGTAAACATGATTATAGAAATAGTTTTCTAAACAAAGGAACTTCAGAAAATGGGTTGAGAGGCTATGGATTTGGATGTTAGCCCCCAGAGAGATGGCAGCCTCCAAAGGAATGTTCGTGGTAGGAGGCCATTCTCTCTTTACAACCCAGGGGCTTATTCCTCTGGCCTTCTGAAGCCCTGTGGATTGAAGCCCTCCAACACCTCATGTCATCTGTCTTTGTCTTTCTTCTCTCAGCTCCCTCTAAACAGAAAAAGGAAAGGAAGGATGAACTGGACACGGGGTGGGGGATTGGAGCCTGGCCTAGGGAAGGGCCTTTATGTAGAGAGACAGATCAATACCCTACTTTCCTCCCTCAACTGGACTCTTGGACTAAAGTTTTTAATTCCTTTTCTCCTCAATGGATAATAATAGAAAAATAATCCAGAAATGCCAAGATATGGTTTGAAGGCTAGAGGGGAATGGAGAAGATGGGACATAAGATAGCCCAAGGACTCCTCCCTGCGGAGGTGTGACTTTCCCTCCTGGGCAGGAGGCAAGAGCCAGCACAATGTCCAGTCTCAGGGAGGTCAAGGGGCTTCCGAGGTCATTTTGTGGTTCTAATACTGAGCTAATCGCCTAGAAAACGTGGCCTCTCCATGAACTCTCTCCTGCCAGCCTCCCGCCTCCAAACTCTAAGCGAGGCCTCAGGGAAAAAGGGCCAGCACATTCCGGTCTGACACAGAGCCTACTAACTCCCTTGGCTGAGAAGCATGTCCCAGAGGAGAGCACAGGAGTCCTCAAACCAAGAGAAAAAGAGGAAACCAAAGCAACACCAAGACTTCAGGAGGAAGGGAGGGGTGCAGAGTAGAAGAGGAATATTCCTGCATCAATGCACCTCGCCTGTGAACTGAGCAGTTGCCTGCTCCGCAGAGTAGCACACATTTGTCTAGAATCCCAAGAAGAAAAAAACCAAACATCCACTTATGCCCGCTCCAAGACTGGAGCATTCCATCCAAAAACTGGGGGCAGTGACAACATCCCACAGGTCAACAGACGTAGGGGACACCAGCCCTCAGTGCAGACGGGCAGAATCACAGGAACACTCTGACCGCATCATAGTCCTACTCATGTACACATGCTGGGGCGCAGCAGTGCCCACCTGCATTTTTCCAAAATCAGAAAAGCACTCTGGGCTGCCTCACAAACAACCTTCTTTTCAAGGCTTTTTTGCGGGTCCCGACACCTCTGTCCCAACCAGTACATTCTCCAGGTCTCCAGGCCCCTCCATCTCCCTCTAACCCAAGCATCCGTCATCATAAAAGGCAGCAAACCTGCCGAAGCATCCACCATAAAAACCCAGCAAAGATAGTTGAAAAAGAAAAAGAGGAGGCGAGAGTTTCTTTTTTGTTTGTGAAAAGAGCTCATAAAACGATCAAAAAACGCCAGCCCGGGACCGGGACCCGGGCTTTGTTACCTTTTCGCCTCTCGCCTCCTCTCGCCTGAGCTCCGCAGATCCCATTCATGACGAACGGCTTCTTCCAAACTGAGAGAAAAAAGTTTTCAACTTTATGGTTCCAAATTTTTTCCCCCTTGCAGATCCGGGAGAGACGGCTAACACTTTTTTCCCCCAACAGCCGGTCTGCGGAGATTTGCTGTTGAATAATAACAAAGGAGAGAGGATACGTATTTAAAGAAAAGAAGTGATTAATGGTTTTCTGTATAATTCTCACATTTTTCTTAGCTCTTGTCTACACAGAATGGCTGTGAACTTTAAGCTCCATAGAAATCTCTTTTTAAAAATTCTATTCATACCTTCCAAGGAGCAGCTTTGATTTGGTTCTTTAGAGACATTCCTGGGGGGGCATATGCTTTTTAAGAACTATTTTTCCCCTAGACTAAGGGCTGCCCCATCCCCTTGGAGCTAAAACATCACATCGAGATCCTACAAAACAAAGCTCACCCCTTGCCTTCTCCAGGTCCAGGGCAATTTTTTGTATGACTCGCCCAGCAGCATTTAAACAGGCAGTTCAACCGCCCTTTCCCTTGCTGAGGACACTGGCCCCATCGGTTCCAGTACCCTGCTCAGCCTCCAATTACCCGCTGCTACAAACCAGAAGAATGCAAAATAATAAGAATTAAACATACAGATGAAATTGGTTCTTTTTATTTTCTGAAAGGAGATGGGACCAGGAAAAAAAAATACTTTTAATTGCATATGCTCTCTGTGTGCCCTGAGTTTTTTGGAGGCAAGGTGGCTGTACCCTGGGCTACCACCAGACCAGAGATCTGAAGGCTGGAGTCCCCAGACTTTAGAACTTTTCCACAGTGCTGCACAAAAGCGGCCCAAGGCTGACAGAGCTTCTAAGGATCAACTGCACCCCTTCCCCCTTCCCCCACTCTATTCTAGGGGTGACTGGGACCTCAGAGACAAAAAGCTATTTGGTCCTCAGTCGTACTTTCGATACTTTCTATGAGAAAGAAAATGAAAATTAATACAGGAGCAGGGCTTCACAAAAGAGGCCATTTGTCTTCTTGATTATCTATTTGCTTGTCAGAGTTTGAGCTATGGCACTGGCTAGCTCCTTTGTAATATAAAAATACTCTGAAAACCTGCAAACACCCAGAAACATCTGTGCAAAAAATTAGACTCATTAAAGCCTTAAACACCTCAGAGGAAAGCGATACCTTCTTATGCTGGGAGGAAAGAGGCCGGCCTCGCAGAATCCTCTCTCGGACTTTAATAACCAAAGAGCAGTCTGTCTAGTAGGAGACAGCTTAACCGCATTTTATTTGCTTATGACAAATAAATCACAATATGAAAGGCTTTTCCGTACTTAAGCCTCTTGTGTCCTACAATGAAACATTTTCCCCCATTAGGGACTGGAATCAGCCCTCCCAAGTCCTTTCAATCCATTTTTGGACTGGAGGGAAAAAAATTAAAAGCCCCGAACAAAACACACCCACCCCAAAAGAAAAACAAATGAGCTACCACAATTTGGAGTCCTCTGAGATAAAAATTCCCATCAGACTCTTTGAAGAAAATCTTCAACCACACACAATGTGAAGCTGAACCCACTAGGATGCTTAGAATATATACTAGGTGGCATTTGTCCATATCTTTACATCAAGGTTTCAACAAAAACACACGTGCTGGTCACAAGAAACCAAACATTTATTTCTATTGTCACTCTGTACAGGACACACATTTTCACACCAAGGAAAGGTTCTGGACTCAGGCAGCCCCAGAAATGGGAAAGGGCCTGGTTTGGAATGTCAGAAAGAGAAAAGGGGAGAGGACACACACACACACATGACATAAAATAATAGTCATAATAATAGTCATAATAATAATAATAAATGATGCAACAATGATAAACTAGGGGAGAGGGCTCTGCAACATCCTCCTCCCACACTGGGAGGGGCACGATATTTTTTCCTAGTTTCACATTCATTTTCAATCTGGGAGAGAGGCCTCCACTGTACAACTCTGGATTGGAGAGTGTGGTACTCTACTCCCAGAATTCAACTGGCCCCTCAATCTGCCAGGCATGACTTGGCCTTCCAGAGGAAGGCCTTTGCAGTATCTGAGTCTGTCTTTTTTCCTCGGACTCAATTTCCCTGCTGCTACTGCGTTGTCAAGGCCACCCTCTCTCCAACTTGTCCCCTTTCTTCTATTTTCCATCCCCTCCCAGCCCCAATGTGAAAGAAGGGGATGAGCAGTCACAGTCCCCTGTGAAGGGCACCAAAGAGGAGGGAGGTTGTGTGTTTGTTACCGTGGCCAAAACACTGCACTATCTGGCAGTCAGAGGGTGCTTTCGCTGGGTGTCAGGAGTGGGGGACAAAGAAAGAAAATCCAGGCTGTCTTCCAGCAGCGGCAGCAGCAGAGGCCGGGCCTCATTTGTTAGCTGGGTGTCGAGGTAATGGTCGCCACCGAGGCCCATCCTTTCCTCGGCAGAGTAAACAAGACAGATGGGCCTGGGCCTGGCGTGATTAAAGATGAAACGTGGATCCATCTTCACCAAAGCTGAAAAGGAGGAGAAACTGCCTCCAATTCTTTTTCTTTTTTTTACTTCTTCTTCCTTTTTCTGTTCTTTCTTTTCTTTTCATTATTTTTTCTTTCTTTTTTTTCCTTTCTCTTAAGGAAGAAAGCAGGAGACTTGAACCTTGCTTCTGGGGGGCCTCCTTCCCTCCCTATTGTCATTTCTATAAATAAAGCTTCCCCTCCCCCTCTTCTGCGTTTATTCCTATATAAAGTGGGGGGGGGGGAGGGCAGCTAGGTTTTTCCAGGCCCAGGCCCCGGCCCCCTCCCACCCCTACCCACCACTAGGCGCTCCATGCCCACCCCCACCCCAGGTTCAAGGGGGATACTAAAGCGAGGGGGGGCCTCCATTGGGCCGGCCAGGAGGCCCTCCAACTGAGCCTGCGGTGCCACCAGAGCGGATCTTAGTGTTGGGCAACTTGTGGTCTTTTTTCCACTTCATGCGCCGGTTCTGGAACCAGATCTTGATCTGGCGCTCAGAGAGGCAGAGTGCGTGGGCGATCTCCACCCTCCGGCGCCGAGTCAGGTAGCGGTTGTAGTGAAATTCCTTCTCCAGCTCCAAGACCTGCTGGCGAGTGTAGGCGGTCCGAGAGCGCTTGGGCTCCCCGCCGGCGTAATTGGGGTTTACTGGACACACACAGAGAAAGGGAGAAAGAGAAAGTTTTATTGCCCCCCAAAAGAGGAGGAAGAGCCTTTCTTCCAACTAACACAGTGTCTGCTTCCCTCCCTCTCCCAACACTTCTTCCTTCAAAGGGGACAAAATCTAAAAAGGGCTAGAAGTGGGACCCAAGGAAGAGAAAGAGATCCCCCAGTTCCGGGAGGTTGTGCTGTCCTTGTTGTTTGGGAGCCTAGGGGTGAGGAGTGAGGAACCTGTCCAAGGTTTGAATGGCTCCACTCTCCCCCTTAGCCTGGGCTTCTCTAGAATGATAGAATGCGGGGTGGAAAAGAGGGAGGGGGTGTCCCTAAATCTTCCCTCTGTTTAGTTCCCACCCTCGAGCTCAGATTCCAAGTAGTGCCTGCCCTGGGTAAAAACTTTTGCTCACTTCTCCAGCCAAGGAGTCAGACTAGAAGAAAGGAAAAAGTAAATACTGGGAGTTGACTCAACTCTGCTTAAATACGGATCACCTCCTCCTTCTCCTCCCCCACCTCCTACACCCCTCTTCAACTTCCAGCTTCACTGAGACTGCATCTCCCTAGCGAAAAAGTCCCTGGTGAAAATGGCGAAGAGGATGGGGAACCGACTTCAAAGGCGCAAGGCCCACCAGGCCATAAAAATTTATGGGGGATGTAATTATGTGGCTCTGAAAACAGGCGACCGTAAATCTCTGGCAACGGCGGCGAGTTTATAGTGGGGACAATTGGCTTCCCCCAGCTCACCCCCCCACCATGTCTCGGAGGTCCCTTCGGTGTAAAGCGCAAGGGGGGGGGAAGGTATGCCCACGCACTCACCCGTGCTCACGTGAACTTTGCGCATCCAGGGGTAGACGACGGGCTCTTTGCACGCGGAGTGGGACGGGCTGGGGTGCAGGGGGTTCTGGGCGCAGGGAAGCGGCGGGGGGCTGCTGCTGACCGCCTCGCAGCGCTGGCCGGACTCCGGGAGGAGAGCCCCGGCGGGTGGCGGCGCAGTAGCCCGAGGGGACAGCCCGGGCGGTGGCGGGGGCGGCGGGGGTGGTGGCGGAGGCGGCGGGGGCCCAGGGTCCCGGCAGGCCGCGTAGCGCTGCACTGTGCACGGCGCGCGCCGCCCGAAGCCCGCCTCCGGCTGGAAGCTGCTCTCTCGCCTCTGGCCGCCGGCGTAGTACCCCGGCGAGTGGTCGCTGGGTAGGTAATCGCTCTGTGAATATTCCTCGCACGGAGGGAACTTGGGGTCGACATAGTTTGAGTTGATCAAAAAAGAACTCATAGCCATTAATTTCTGGGAATTGCCTACAAAATATACTAAAATTTATTCCGACCCCTGACTCGTTTTCCTGTTTCCGAAAGCCCTCCTACTTACTGTCAAGTGAACAAAGTTAGGGGCCCACGTGATCTTCCGAGCCAATGGCCGCCCCGCCTGCGATTCCCGGATAAGGAAATCTGCTCACCCGGACCCTACTCCAGCCAAAGAGGTTTATTTCCCCTTCTCTTCCCCTCCCTACACACCCAACACCAAGATTTACATAGGACTGAAGAGGGGCGACCCCTTCCTCTCCTTGCTCTCTCTGGGATGAGAGAGAGAGGGAGAGAGAGAGAAAAAGAGAGAGAGCTTGCGCAGGTTGTGACTGGAGGGCCTCCTCAGGAGCTGGCAAAGCGCAATCCCTATGTCCCCTCCAAAGTTGGGGCTCTGGGGGTAGCCTCTCCTGCCTTGCCTCCACTCTGCTGAGCATTCTTTGCTTTCAGAGTCTCCCATCTCTTCCCCAAGGCGGGAGGGAGACTATGCGCCATGCATCTGTTTGGGGAGTTGAGCGACCTGTGTTTTGGGGGCTCCAACTTAAACGGGGAACCCATATAGGGGCGAGGGGCACAGACCTTGGGGCTGTTTTCTGCAACCAGATGGGCGGAGTAGGGGGTGAGAGAGGAAGCATCGAGAGCTAGAGGGCGGGTGCACAGAGGGACTTGTCAGAGATGAATGGAACTGCGGGCGGATCGATAGGAAATTCATGGACTAATTCGGGGAGACCTCGCCTTCCAAATCGCATTTAGCAGAGCGATTAGCTTGACTGTGTCAGTCAGTCCGTCTGTACCCCTTCTCCTATCCACGCCTCCTTTTACCCCACGGCGGCCCAAGCCAGCAGAAATGACTTGGTTTCCCACACTAAAGATGAGCGCTGGAGTGAAAAACCTGTAACTTTTGAGAGCAAAATTGGGTAATAATTTGATAATTCCAAAATCACCGGAGCAATACAAACCATGGCGCTTAGATATTCTGATGTTCTAATAGCCGCTAATGCCGCCGCCTCCACGGGGAGCAGAAATCTCACCTCTTTGTGATAATGGGGATAGGAGACCTAGAGGTGAACCCCACAAACAATAACACCCCCTCGTAATCACGTATGTCCAGGGCATCTTGTGCTAAACCCAAACGGAAAGGCGATCTCAGCATCCGTTTGAAAAGCGAATTTCTTTTGCCCTAGTACTCTGAAGACAATAGTCATTTTGGGGGAATTTCCAATAAAGCTTCGAGCCCAGAATAGAAAATAGGTGGGCTTCGGGCAAGAGGAAAAATTTAAAATATTATGAACGACAATATTAAGCTCTACAGAAAAGTAAAAAAGAACCAAGGCTCCTAGGGGCAGGCATGAAGAGTGTTCAGGTAGATGATTCCTGTCTCTAACCAGTGGAGGGAGGAAAAGAAAGAGGAAGAAAGAAAAAGGAAGGAGTCTTCGCGTGGTAGTCACCGGATTGTCCTCATTTAGAAAAATAATAGATTTTTTTCTTCTGGAAAAAAAATGAGCGGAGTGTTTATGTCAACTACATATTCCCCTAGATACGAATTTGTGACCACAAAATTCCTTACACAAATTCGGATCTACAGGGTATATACAGAAGACAGACAGATCTTCTTGGCCCAGAAATTTTCCAGTTCTCTTACTTTCCGCGTGTTCTTCGTTTGGGGTGTGGTTTGAGTGCTTTGATTTTATTTCGTTTTGTTCTAGTTTCGAGCTTTGGGAACCGAAAAAGACACCGAGGGTTCATTTTGGGGATTACAAGGTTTTCAACTCTCCTTTCCTATTAGAGAGAAATAGAAGCAGCCGATTCGCAAAAGGACGCGAACCTCGCCGCCGCTGTGCAACTCTCGCTGGCGCATGAATTATGAGATGTAAACATTAGCTAAGCACAAAAGGAGGAAGGGTCATTCTGAGGCTGCGGAGAAGTCAGATTCAGGCCTTTCTGGGTGCCCTCGCGCCCCTCCCCTCCCCCTAGGACTTTTTTTTTTTTAAAGAAAAAACAAAACCCCAATCGGCTCCTCCGTGCCCCCTTGAAGCCTTTAGTTTGCGATCAAACGAATATCTAGATATTTTCCAAAGCGCCTCTCAGTGAAGAGAGGAGGGAGAGATGGCTGGGTGTGAAGGGGGTGTAATAAAAGTCCTTTTGGAAAAATTCAATGGTAAAAAGAGAGAGAAACAGCTGTAAAGAAAAATGCTGGGAGACCAAGCAGATGGGGCCCCGGATATTTAATGACAGGGCAATTCCGTTTACAACCTGAGAAAAAGATCAAAGGCGTTTCATTTCCGAATGAAGGGCAATGAGGAACCATAAAAGATGTAGCCAGATGATATACCGGCCCCTCCCAATCTCCCACACCTCCTGGGGGCCAAAGAGGGAGACAATCCTCTGGAGGTGTGGGGAGGAACCCCATTTCTCCACCCCTGTAGCCCCAGGCAGGTCCTGTGGGTCTAAACACACATACTAACTTGCCCTGTCACCTGCTTGGGTTACTCATATTGGGGCCAAAATGGGGATCTGGCATTTCTGAACTGACTTCCTGTAGTTCCCAGGAACTGTGGATTTACTAGAAAGGGATTGGGCTGAGGGTTGGGGGTGGTGGAGTACCCAGGCTTAAACTGTGGAATCTGTAACAGTGTGAGAGAAAGTGTGCACAAAAGCCTTTTTCTCCTCACTCAGACTCCCGATCTAAATCTCTAAATCTGAGAAATACTTACATCCCTAGTGAGCAAGTCAGAATAATGTCAATTTCATTCACAAATATAGCAACAATGCAAAAATAACTCTCTTAACTACCATACTCCACAGGCCTCTGCCTATCCCTAGTCCTGGGACCCTTGCAGGTGGGTAGGAGAGCTTCTACCTGCCCACAACTAGGGCCAGAGACCCTCTGAATTTTAAAAATTACAAATCTAGGCATTACCAATGTTAGCCTGTGGGGCTGATTTCTAACACCAACACATTCTGGGCCACGTTTGACTGTACATATTTTGGGGAAGAAAATCAAACTACTACATTGTAGCTGTTATATTTGCCAAGAGGGTTCCAATAGGTAGTCTCAGACCGGCATTTGGGCACTCAAGGAGACTGGAGTCTGGCCCTGGGCCCACAGACAAAACGTCCTTCTAGGATCCCCACCAGCTCCTTAGGGTCAAGCAGGGACCTTTCCAAGTCTTCTTAAAGGCCACTCGGGGACTCCAGAACCCACTCCAACCAGCCAGGCCCCTCCCCCACCCCATACCTCCTGTCTTTCTCAACTCAGGCGCTCTCGGAAACCCGTCCAACCCGTCGGTGTTTCGGAAATTTGCCAAGGCTGCTGGGCCCGCCGCTGGACCTCTCTGTTGCTTTACACTTCAGGAGGGATATGGCACAGGTACCCAGAGCACCCCAAGAGAGAGGAATGAGGGGCAGAGCCACTGCGGGGTTGGGCATGGTTGATCCTAGGGCCGGAGAGCAAAGATTTTCTCTTCAGCGCTCTGGGAGCAGCCACCTGCCAATCCCACCAAAGCGCCGCAGCCTCCCCCCACCCTCCCCACCCCCACCAGCCGTCAGAGGTGGAGGACAGGGTTTATCAGCCACTCCCAGTAGGAGTTTCGCCGGCGCTGGAGGCTGCCTCTCCCCTCCACCCCTAGAACACTAACACCAATACGCATAAATAATAAAATAAGAGCAGGGGCTTGGGCGCGTTCAGAACCATCTCCCCTGTGCTCCCGCGGGTTCCGTGGCTGGTCTGCCGCTTTAGCCTGGTAGCCACAGGTTGCTGGCCTGGCTTCTTGCTGCCCAGCACCCCTCCATCGTGCTGGGCGTGCCCAGCCCGTCAGAAATAATCCACCTTTTGTCGGGCGGGCGGATAGGAAGGGACTTAGCGATGGAGGGAAACCAAAGGGTAGAGCGGAGGCGAGTCCCTTGTACATCAGCAGCGGGCAGTCTCGCGGAGGACAGAAAGGCCCCGAGCCGCCGGAGAGGGCAAGAGTACTCACCCGGCGCTCCCCGTGCCCTCCTGGCCGCCGACCTGCCCGCGGACTCGCTGGGCAACAGCTGAGCTCGCTCTTGTCCACTATCTTGTGTCCGGAAAACCAACCGCAGCGGCCGGCAGAGGAGCTACGGGCCTCCGGAACAAGACTTTTTTTTTTTTTTTTTTTGGTGTGTTTTTGTTTTTGAAGCGCAAGTTTTTCAAATTAATCTCATACTTTGGCAGTCTTTGTTAAACAGCTAAGCGCGTCACGAGGCTCTAGAACATTTTAATAATTTTTAGACGCCGTGACCTGCGGTTCACCCCTCTCTGGTCCTCCCCCACGAGCAGGCAGTTACTATAATATGCTCTTGCAGTTAGCTCGGTCATATTGAATTTTGCCTAGGTCATTACTTGGCAGAAAAAATGACAGAGCAGGAATCTGATTCAGCTCACCCCCTCTAGCTCCACTTTCCCCCCAGAAACTTCTTTTTTCCTCACCTGCCCCCAACTCCCAAAAGGTCCCATTAGAATAGGATTCAGCCATCCCTGCCGCCCCTGCTTTGCTTTTCCATCATTTCTGTATTTTTGGTCAGCTCTGCTTCCAGGAAGAGGATAGAATTCAATGGTGGTCCCTTTTAAGGCCTGAAAAGGAGGCTGGCACAGGGAAAATGGAAAATTTGCCTTGAGCATCTTTGCTCCAGAGAGTAGGCCTGAGTCAGAGGCTCCTTCCCTTGACCTTCTCCGTAAATGCCTGCACCAGTAGGGCCAGTATCTGGACTCCTTTGCACACTCCATCTGCTTTATTTTCTCCTCTAGGTGCCAGAGATACATCCACTTCTGGAAAAATTTTGGAGACGCCAGGGCCCAGAAATGACCCCTCCACTGCTTGAGCCAAAATTTTGGCCCATAGTCCAGCAAGGTTGAGAGAAACAGCAACCTCAGAGAGAGGCTGGACTGCATCAAAGACTTGGCTTTCAGAGGCTTTAATTATCTTTTTAAAACAAAACAATATCCTCTCCCCCCCATTTCTTATCTATACAGTAACTCCTTTGCCTACTATCTCCACTACCACCACAGGAGGTTAACAAGC